CTGATCTGAACTCTCAGACGAACTGGAACTTGATTCAGAGCTGGAACTTGATGATGACGACGATGATGATGATGATGATGATAAAGAACTTGATGAATCTGTAGTAGGCTTGGCAATGACTGGTGGAACAGGTACTGGTTTTGGTCGTGTTTTAAGATGTTCTCGAAGGTCATCAGTTAGACCACCAAGTCCAATTGAAGTAAAAAAATTGATTGCAAATCGACTTTTCTTGGGATCATCTCTCGGAAATAATCCTTCAAATGTTTCTTGAAGTGTTACATCTTTTACACGGGCATTAAGTTTAGATAAACCCATGTATTCTGACAATTCTTGAAAAAGAATTTTTATAAAAATTCTACTAGAACTAGTAGTATCGTCTTCATTTAATTTGATACAATTTAATACATCCCATGATATTGAATCCGTGAATAACAAATGAGCGAAAAATTTAGAAACATTTCTTAATTTATTCATATCTAAACGATGAATTGTTTCATAAGAATCTTTGAATATTTTTTCGAATGGAGTTACATAATTTTATTAATCGCACAAAATCGGCCAGCTAAAAGTCCAAAAATTTTCATATGTCCGCATTTCTGCACAACAATCTAAAAACATATGACATAGTTCGATCTCTTGGCCTGGTTTTAATTTCATTTTCATTAGTTTATGCGCACATTCTTCAAAATCTAATGAAGAATGGATCGTTAAATAAATTGTTCTCCTAAGAGCAGTTAAATTAGTTTCTGTATTGTCTAATATTATATCTTTTTTAATTTCGTCTTCTTCTTCTTCTGATGCTTCACTTTCATCAGAATCCTCATTTCTTCGTCTCCTTCATCACCTGAACTTTCATCGGTATCTAAAATTTCTTTCATCAATTCTTTATATTTTTCCTCATTTTTCACATAATCTGTATCAAATTTAAATACATTCAAATATCTTCGCCATCAATAGATTGGGCCAATTCTATTGTATGCGTAAATTGATCTTCTTCTTCAACTAAATCTAATTCTTCACTAACAGCCACATGATCCTTGAATCCATCTTTTCGAATTTGAAATACTACCTCAATCATATACTGGACTCTTTTATCCAACTGACCTTCATGAAGGATATTCCTTAAAATTTCAAAAATTGATTCAATTCCTTTTTTTGAAACTTGGGTAAGTTTCATACCACATTCTTTTAAAAATGCTATAGCTACTTCTACTGAATCATCTGTTGGAGTTTCGATTAGTAAAGTAAGTAATTCTAAAGCTAAAATTTCATGAGCGACACTTGATTAACTAAATGTGCTATGAATAGTCCAGAAGAAATACATAAAGGCTTGTCATTTCTCCTAAAGCCTCGTTTAAATTGAATAACTAATCGTTTTAATAATAATTCTCCGATATTGGGAAATTTGGAATTAATAACAGCAGTCAAAGCTGCATAAACTGGTGTAAAAGTTGGCGAAGCAGCTTGAGCTTGAATAATTGATCGTGCTAATAAACCACGTCCTCTTACAATATTCTCGCGTAATAATTCTCTTGTAATCAATCCATATTACTCGTATTAACTTTATTGATGTAACCGTGAATAGATTTCTTGAGAGCCTCCCATGCAATACGTTGATATGCAGCAGATGATTTATCCGTTATCTCTGCTTGCATTATTCTCAATTTAGCTGGAGGAATATATGCTCCTCCAGTTTTTGAAGTAAGTAAATCTACCGTTTTTTTCTGTGCTGGTGTAATATTGGCCAACTCTTTATCCTCCTCCTCTTGTATCTTTGGAGAATTTTTTTGTTCTTTATTTTTACGAGGGCTTCTTGATCTCCGTCTTTTCCTATTTTCTCGATCATCTTTTCTACGTCTTTCATAGTCGTTATGTTCACTATCAGACAAGCTTCTATGCCTTGATTCATATCTATTGCGTTTATTTTTCTTGTCTTGATGATACCGATCAATCTCCCTCCTCGAACGTTCATGGAATGGACTCCGTCGAAGTTTTGAATTTGATTCACGATCCATTTTTTACTGAAAATTTACAATTATTTTATAATTAAGAAAATTATCCAATTATTTAACAAATTTAGAGGTTAGAAAATGCTTACCAAATAAAGTACACAAAATACGATTTTGTCTACCTATTATAAAAGTTTATTTACTAATCAATATCTACTATATCTATTATTCAACTATTTATCAATTTTCATCAACAATTATGTCAACATCACAATAAATTAATAAATATACTCCAAAAATACTCTCTTATACTCGAAAAATGAACATAACTCACGCAAACTTATGTCGAACTAAACAGTTGTACCAATGTATAGTATGAGCATCAGCAGAGAAAGAGAATAATCGCTGAGTGCTTAAGAATTTAACGATTGCGCCATCTAGCATTATATCGTGGCAATGTATTTTCCATTCGACTTAGACTGCGCGTAAAAATAGCAACTGAGTATTACATTTACCGATTATAAATGTTGATTTTTAATCATTTAAACTTGTTTTGTTAATTATCAAGAATGTCCACCAAATCAATAACAGAAGTACAAATAGAAACTGCTGAAACTTTAGAAAATATTGCAATCATGTCCGAAAAAATGTATTGTAACATTTACTAATGATACAAGTAAAATTACAATTCATTGTTTCAACTAATACTTCTTTCATTTATTGTTTTTTATAGCAAACAAGAATTCAGAATAATAAAAGAAATAATAAAGGAGGATGGGCCTTTGAACAATTCAATAAATAATTGCAACCTGACTTTCTGTCACATTCTTAAAAAAAGAGGAGTAAAAGTGGATGAGTTACTAGATCTACTTGATGAAGATAATAATACAGATATAATTCAATCAGTGCCTTTAACAGTGGACACTATTACTCAAAAACTAATGGCATTTATAAATAAATAATCTAAAAAATTCTATTTTCATATATAATAGATTTCATATTATATTTTTTTTTAATAAAAATATTTTCTTAAATTTAGTACAAACTTTTATCCATTATTCAACAATCATCTATCATAAAAATATAATATTAAAGCTTTGATTCTGTCAGCCACCCGAATTTTTGTTCTTTGCGTTCAGCAGTTGGATTGATTAGTATATTTATAAGACTTGGTGCATCTGTTACCTATGAGGTAAAATACAACAGATTCCATTAGTAAGTAATTTTTTTTTACCTTTAAAGAGCTCTTTACTGCATTTTGAATATCGTCTACAGTAGTACAAAAATATCCTTTTCTATCGAAAAGCTCCATCATTCGTTCATAATGAACGTCAGCACACAGTGAATATGGTGGAGTACTGTTAATAAAAATATTCGCTCAATGATTAATTTAATTAAAGTATTTTCAATTCGTAATTTTAATAAACTTACAATATTGTTGGCCCTTGATTCTGAATTTGATTAAAGGTTTCTTTGTCAAAACCTCCGTAGATTCCATTATTATTAACTATGATTATTATTATCGGAAGTTTATACCTTTAATTGTAATATAATTTTTTAAGCAGAATTCAAAATAGATTGAATTATCAAATTAGTACATTAAGCTTACCTGAACATTGTTTCAATTTCCATCGCTGAGAATCCAAATGCACTGTCTCCTTCAACACAAATAACTCGTTTTTTTGGAGAAAAATCTTTACAATGTAATGCTGCAGCTATTGCAAATCCTAAACCCACACCCATGGTTCCAAATGTTCCTGCATCAAGCCTATGGCGAGGATGTAAATTTAAAGTATAGATCGACCAATGTCCATTGTATTAGCACCCTCCGAACAAATAATACAGTCTAAAAATGTAAATATAATTAAGAAATAGTTATTATTGACTTTTAAAATATAATTAATTTCAATAACGATATTGGTAAATGGCAATAAAATACCAGTAGGTAAAACATCTTGAATATGTTTAAAAACGGTGTAATAATTCAGTGGAACTGATATATCTGATGATAATTGCTGTAATTTCATTTTATTTTCACTTCCAGCTTTTTCTAATTGAGTCCACCAGTCTTCTTCTTGACCAAAATAAAAATTCTTGCTTTGAAGGGCATCTTATGTCCGCTTGAATAGCAACTTCTGATGTAACTGAATTATGTAATTCTTCTGCACATATCTCTACCTGCATTCAATTTAAATAAAATTTCCATTATATATTAATAAACTTTTTAATTATACTTATCAACAGATCATGAAATAGTTGAACCTGTATGATTTTAACGTCACTTTGATATCGTGGAGGTCGACCAAAATGGAGCATCCAGTTTAATCTAGCTCCCAATAAAAGTATAACATCCGCATGAAGTAAAGCAGTTGTTCTTGCACTTGAAACACAATGTGGATCCAAATCAGAAATAACACCTTTTCCCATTGGAGTTGGTAAAAATGGTAAATTAGTTGAATTAATAAACATTTGGAGTTCATCTTCAGTAAATGTTAAAAATATAAGGAAAAGCAAAGCAAAAGATCCTTCGTACACCACAAATGAACTGTGCGATCTGAAAAAGAAAATTAAAAGTAATTAATTTTTCACTTCTCTAAGTTTCTGAAGTGGAATTTAAAATTATATTTTTCAGCCCAGGTAGGCAAACTTTTGCCCTTTACCCTTTACAACTACCATTACCTCTAGAACTTTTGAAAGTGCAATAAAATTAAAAATAAGGATCTTTCATGCGGGCACTACAAAATAGTCAGTTTTAATTTTTTTTTTATTGAAATACTTTTTATAAAAGTATAAAGCCAATTACAAATCTAAACCATGAGTTTGACTATTTTATAATACCGTTATATGAATTCAAAAATTTTTAAAACGATTTTGTCGTTTTAATTCTTCTTCAAAAGCGTTAAAGTCGAATATTATTCTACATTTTTGATTCTAATCTATTGTTAATTTGTGTTAATTGTGTACAGATTTAGAGTATTATTGATTGAAAAGCATCAATTTTTTATAATCATCAACACTGAGATGATAAAATGAAGTAGAATTAAAACATTCGAAGAAATAATATACTTAAAATCGTTTGAATAAGGATTAAAACGACTAAAATAGTCAGTTTTAATTTTCTGTGCAACAGTACCTATCATACAAGTATAAATCATCCTAAATCTAATGGAGAACTTTGATTATTTTGTAGTACCCGCATGACAATTTAAAATCCCTTTTTAATCCTTATTTAAAAGAGCGCAAGTACATTACTATCCTAACTTTCTAATTCTATTTTATTATTAATTTTATTGCACTCTTAAAGATTCGACAGGTGGTTATAGCTATTAAGGGTAAATATTTGCCTACCTGGAATGAAAAATACCCAGGTACAGAATAACAAAGCATGGGAAATTCCCAATTGCCCGTATTAATTGTTAATATATAAGGATATAGATTTTTAAATTTTGTTTTTAATTAATAATTTTTAATAACTAATAGCTAATTAATATAAACTTATGTCTTAAAAATTCTTTTTTCTTAATTTTTTTTATTCTTAATAACTAATAACTCATGTCTAGAAATATTATTAAATCAGAGTTGAGTGTTAAAATTTTATTAACATTATTGATAAATGTTATTAATATAGATGCTAATTGTGGAGTAAATAACGAGACATGAGTAATTTTAAGTATTTTGAAGTATATATTTTTGAATTTAGTAAATTAATCATTCTTAATAACTAATTACTATGTACTTATGTCTATGAAAGGTAATTAAATGAAGAAATGCTATTTTATATGAAAAATCGATATAACAAATTTTATTCAATTCAAAAAAATAGATATATGTATACAGTACATTTTTACATATAACAATATAATTACTATTATTACAATATCACACATGCATTCCAGTCTTTAAAAACTCTACGTAAAAAAATTTAATTTAAATTAAAAAAATGACATTTAACAAAAATAAATTATTAAATTAATATACATAGTACATTTTAATTTTTACAAAAGAAGCTATTAAATATTATAGTACAATTACTATCATTTTCATATCACACATGCATTCCAGTCTTTAATATAATTTCCAATAAATCTAATTTACAATCTATCTTGAAAAAATAGATTATTCAAGAAAATACAATTTCTGTACAAATATTAAATTAATTTAATAATAAGTAACATTTACAAATTATGAAGCTAACAGTTAACATTAAAAAAAATACAATTTTAACATGATTAATTTTCTAATTTTTCTATCAATTGTTATCTACGTCGTTTATATGGTGGAGGCAAACAATCAGAATCATCTTTAAATTTATATTTCTCAATATAATCACATAAATCTTCCGAAGTAACAGGTGCTCTAATACTTTGGCAAACAGACTGAGCAGTGGTGAAAGAATTGGGAAATGATTTATCCGTTCTTTGACGCATAAACACCCAATGCCCATTTTCAAATTTACATTCAATTATTTTATTATTTAAATCTTTAATTTCTGTAGTAATTTTTATGTAATCAAATGGTTTTTTTTAAGCCTCCAACATATAAATGACCTATTTTTCTGGGTACAATACCCATACCTGATTCAACGACTATTTTTAATTTAAAATCTACAGAATTCAATGACAATGGCTTCCATTTTAAGACTTCTGCTGCAGTTCCAGAGATGTAAGGCTCCTTTGAAGGCTGGAAGATTAATCCGTCTGGTTCATGACCCAATTGTTTGGTGAATTTTTCACTCAACAAACTGTTGACTTGTGTGATATCCCAAAATTGCTTTTGTCGGACAGAAAAAGGTTCTTGTTCTCGGTATATTCTACTTTCTTTTAGTGCTCTATATCGGCCTCCCATTACTTCTCTCTCGATGATGGTATATCGATCAGGAAAAAATGATTTTTTAGATACATCGTTCCCGTCATACATAATTACATCATAAACTAAGTACCTAGGATATTCGGTACCATTTGCTTTATCAATGACCATTTCGCCATCCAATAATGTATCTTTCAGATTTCTTGAAAGATCTCGAGGGTGTGGAAATACCAATCCAGACACTTGGAAGACACTATTAT